GCCAGAAAGAAATAATGTAAGACACTTTGGTCATTTCTTCTTTTTTTTTTTTTTTTTTTTTAAAGTTTACAAAATCCTTACCCCATGATGCCCCAACTTCGATCTTTCATTTACCTGTTTGGCTTCTTTTCCATGCGTCTTGTCTGACTCCTGGGAGCCATGGGCACCTTCCTCCTCCAGGCCATCTAGCTCGTCGGGCTGCTTTGTGAGCGGTTGGGTTTTGGGGTCAGATTCTGGTGTATCCATCAGCGGCTGGGCCAAAGGGCTCCCTTCAACTTCTCCTTCCTCCTCAGAACTGTCACTGATGTAGCGCTTTCTTCTCGGCACCAAAACAAAGTTGGTGAAAGAAGCCATGTTTCCACTCAGCGTTTGCACGCTCTGTGAAACACGCGCTCTTGGAACAAGATGGCCTCTTTTGTGTGGCACTAGACCTTATGGGGAAGTGCTATGCTCTGATTGGCAGAGGGTGTCATGGGAAGCTCTTAGAGGGGGTCACACGAACCGCTTCCGGTCTGGTCAACCGGTCCCGGAACTGCCCCTGATTGGTCACAGCGATTCGCGGGGTGGTCCTACAGGGGGAAAACCCTTCCTGATTGGTAGAGGGAGGTGGGGCAAGTCCTTAGAGGGGTCACATGACACCCCTTACTTCCGGTCACCTGCCCCTCTTGACCCGGATGTACTACACTCCAGGGGCAGGACTTCCGGTGACAGGGGAGACGGGACTTCCGGGGACAGGGGCAGGACTTCCGGGGTCAGGGGGTGGGGCTAACATTTGATTGATGGTAGGGTCCTTATACTACTCACACACAAGACATCATGTCCTAGTTACAGTGCCCAGTGCACCCCTCAAATCCTTCTTCTAGCCTCTAGGCCTGGTGCGACTGGGAACCTCTCCTGGGACCCCACTCTCTGCCCCTGTTCAGAGTCCTAGAATCACTGGGCTGGAAAAGACCTCAAGAGTCAGCTCGTCCTGTTCCTGCTCAGAGCAGGGCCAATCACAGCTCCATCATCCCCAGCAGAGCTTTGTTGAGTTAGGACTTAAAATCCTCCATGATTCCCCCCACCTCCCTCGGTAACCCTCAGTGCCTCACCCCCTTCTAGTGGAGTTGCGGTTTCTAGTATCCATCCTAGACTCCACTGCCACTCAAGATCTCAGCTGCTTTTCAGCCCCTCTCTATCTAGCAAAGGAGAGATGCTCTGGCCCACAGCTCCTTTCCCTCCATCCTCGCTGCCTTATCATGCCCCTTCCCCCCGCCACCAGCCCAGCCTTGCTGGCTTCCCAAGGCCTGGCCATTAGCCCCAGGCTGGACCTGTCTCCTCACAGGTAGCTAGACAAACGAGTGCTCTTGTGACAGTCTCCTACCAGTGGCAGAACTGAGTAAGGCCCAGATACTGCCTGGCAGCTGAGGCCAAAGGTGCCAGGGTAGAAGCTGTGTCAGGATCCAGCACTAGGGGAGGAAATGTGCAGGGAGGAAGGTTTGCAGGGAGTCCAGTGGCACAGAGTCTGTGCAGAGAAGCAGGTCACTGCTAAGTGAGGACTTCAGCACGTGTCACCCTGTGCACTTAGCAGTCCCCACAGTTCCTGCTCTCTGAGCTGACACGCCTTCCCCCAGAGCCAGACTAACCCAGCCAGGCACCCCTGGCTCATATTCCCCCTGCAGCACCAGCCCCCACCGTGACCATGGGCTCAGGAATTGACCCAAGGAGACGAAATGGCAGGAAGAGACGGGGACAGCTGGATTGGGGTAGGGGATGGGCTGGGTTGTTATTTCCCCTGCGGTGCCTGGTGTTGTACAAAGTGGAAAGGTAACATCTGCTTTCCAGCTCATGGTGGGAGCAGAAAAGGGCTGGGCTGTGACCTTCAGACTGCAGAGTCATAAAGTTAAAAGCTTTCCCCTGAAATCTCCCTTCAGCTCAAGGGTTGCTGCTGATTAGTGAGTTGCTGCAGTTTCACGCCTTGTCACCAGCACACACCTGCTGACTGTGACCTTAACCCCAGGAGCCTAGGGTGGCCGGCTAGTCTCAGGCGGGAGGTGGGGTGTTCAGTGAGTCACAGCAAAGCTGAGGCTCCTCTGTGCACACAGTGACATTGCAGTAACTCAGGGGGTTCGTTCCCACCTAGTGTGGCCTCAGTGCAAGCTGGCGGCACACAGTGACATTGCAGGATCTCAGGAGGTTCGTTCCCACCTAATGTGGCCTCAGTGCAAGCTGGTGTGGTGCCATGAACACCTGCACTGTGAGGTTAGAGCAGCCTAGTTCAATTGCTGGCCCATCTACACAGCCCCTGGGAAAGGAAATTCCCAGCTCACTTCACATACACATACTGATTCTGCTGGAGCAAGCACCCAGCCCATAGCAGTGAGGCTATGGAAGTGAAGGGGGGCAGCATTGGCCAGACACTAGAGTCCAATCCTACCGAGACTCCAATGGACACGCAGTATAGGCAGCTCCTGGGTTCACATTTTTGTCTTTTTTGTTTCCTTCTCCACTTTCCCCCTTTCTGCAACATCATACCCCCAGCTCCCATTCCCTGCCCATATAATTCTGCTGTCCTTTTTACTTATCTTGCTGCAGCTGCTCTCTGCACCCTCATCTCTCCTTTCTCTTTACCTCACTCTGCCCCTGTGCAGCTGCTTTGACGTGGGATAAACCAGCCCTGGTGCAGTGAGAACAAAGTCCAGAGAGCTCCCTGCAGCCATGGCTGCAATGATTCCTGCATGGGAAATCCAAGAGGAATCCAAATGTCCCATCTGCCAGGACTATCTCACAGACCCAGTGAGCATAAACTGTGGGCACAACTTCTGCCGAGGCTGCATCACTCAGTACTGTGAGACATGGAGAAAGCTGGGCTCTGACCCCTTGTGCTGCCCCAGCTGCAGAGCCCGAATCCAGAAAGGGGCCCTCCGGAGTAACTACCAGCTCGCAAATATTGTGGAAAAACTCAAAAAACTGGATCTCAGCCCAGGCAATGAGAATCTGTGCGGGAGACACGGCAAAGGCCTGGATCTGTTCTGCGAGGAGGACTGGGAAGCCATGTGTGTGGTTTGCTGGAGATCCTCCGAGCACAGATCTCACAAGGTGCTACTCCTGGACGAGGCTGCCCAGCCACACAAGGTAGGACCCACTCTGGATGCGGGTTAATTCCATCCTTCCCTTTTCAGACTCAGTCTCTCTGAGCCCCTGAATCTCCCGGTTTCCCAGATTTTCTCCTCTGATCCCTGGGTCTGTCCCCTGCAGGCGCCTTCCTGTGGGCAGGTGCAGGGAGCCCTGAGCACTCATGGCACCCAGCCCCCTGCTGTGCATGCAGGGGCTGGACTTGAAGACCACTCAGGGCTCCTTCCAGAGCTGTGATTCTACCCCAGGGAGAGGTGGGCCCCACAGCCCTGTGAGAGGCACTTTCCCCCACACAGGCTTGAAGCAAGATGTGTCTGTGCTGCTGCCCCCACCACAGCTCTGACGGCCCAGGCACGGTCCCCAGTAAAGACAAACGGCAACAGGGAAACCTCCGGCCAGACAGGCAGCTGGTGACAGACACAGAAACAACGTTCAGAGGCAGCAAAGGGATCAGGGGGGTGCGCAGGGAGCACCAGGAGGCCCTGAAACTGTTCTGTGAGATTGATCAGACTTCTGCCTGTCTGGCCTGGCATCTGTTCCCGGGCTCATGGTGCTCACACGGTGGTTCCCAGAGAGGAAGCTGCCCAGGAATACAAGGGACTAAGTTGTTGTTCAGTCCAATGAGTAATAACTTTGGATTGTAATTACTGGTTAATGGCAGCACAGGTTGTCCCACACAGATGTAACCGTGCCATATGTGTGAATTCTAGGGCTGGCAGAGACCTCAGGAGGTATCAAGTCCAACTGCCTGCCCAAACAGGACCAACCCCAACTCAATCATCCCAGCCAGGGCTTGGTCAGGCAGTGACTTATAGACCTCTAGGGATGAAGATTCTATCCCCCCCATAGGAAACCCATCCCAGTGCTTCATTACCCTCCATTTGTGGCCTCACCAGAGCCGAATAAAGGGGAATAATCACATCTCTGGATCTGCTGGCAATGCTCCTCTATATGTCATTAGCCTTCTTGGCTTCAAGGGCGCCCTGTTAACTCATATCCAGCTTCTCATCCATTGTAATCCCCAGGTCCTTCTCTGCAGAACTGCTGCTTGGCTTATGTCTGTGCTGCTAAGTTAGGTCAAATTTATTCAGGTCAATTTTTAGCACCCGATTTTGTTCATTCGAAGGTTCATGAGTAAGATGTAGTTCAACATAATGTGTCCCCAGTGGGATGGCTACTGTTGACTTTGGACAGCGATGCACTGAGCATACCTGTTCCTGCCACCCCTTTGCATTCTGAGTTAAGCTCCTGTTACCTGCACAAACTTCTCTATCCCTTCCACACTGTAGGGACACACACCTTCACCCAGTTCCTAAGGCTCAAAGTGCAACCCTGTGAATTTACACACCCACCCTTACCCAATTCCTAGGGCTCAGGGTGCATCTTCCTGTGGGTTTTGCAGGATCTTTAGCCACTGAAAGAGCCTCACACAGTAATATCCTTATCCTCTATTTATTGACAATTCCCAGACAAGCAGAATACACATGCTAAGCACACAGTGTCATACTCACCAATCCTGATAAAGGCAGGCAAACTTCCCCTGTTGGCCAGGCAAGGCAGGTCTCTCTGGTTCTTAGCTGCTGCATGTCATGGTTGTGCAGGAGAGTCCTGGCAGCTCTTATCTTAGGCTGGGTCTTGGAGGTGAGTTCTTCTTCTTGGGGTTCCTTATCTCCCTTTGGTCTTCTTCCAGCCCTTTGCTTTCTTCCTTCTGCTTCTGTTATTTCCGATCTTCTTCTTCCTTCAGGTCTCCTTCTTGAACCCCAGTTTATATAATGAAACCCAGGTTTTGCTTAGCTATACCTTAACCAATTATTTTAATATACTTTTACTAACCAATCATAACAAAATTACCTAACCAATCATACCCCAACACCTTAATTGATTTACACCTAGCAAAATTAATTATACAACAGACAGAAACGGTTACAAACCAGACAGAGATCACACAATCAAACAATAGGAAAGTGTAATGACAATGATCATAGAATGAGGATTCCACAACATTCTCTATTGATAAGCAGTTTCTTGCCAGACAGAATGGTTTGCTCTTCCACTAAAAAAAGCAGAACACATGCTTCTTCCTTGAGTGGTCCCTGTGGATGCTCCACTCTGAGTTCCTACTCTGGCTGCTGGTGCATCTTCGCGCCTGCAACCAGAGACTTTTTCTAGTAGTTTCTTCTGTGCTGCGCACATGCCATGGCACATTCTAGTGCCATTGGAGTCCATTGGGTGCACGTGCTTGGAGGTCCCTCAGTTTCTTCTCTACTGTCCTCGGCAATAGATGGAGACTTCAGTTCTTTTCATTTTCTGTTTAAAAAATAGACAATTTCCCTGTTGCTCCCCCAGTTTCCTCACGATCCAAGTTTTTTAGCCCTTCTTCTCTTCCCCAGTTAGTTTGAAAAAAAAAATTTCTTGTTGAGGTTCACCGCTTTTTATCCAAGCGCCTCATGCCCGGTTCGCCCATCTTTAAGAGGTGCGAGTCATGCCACAACATGATGCCCGTGTCTGATGGGCACGCTAAGTGTATTAAGTGTCTGGGTGAGTCACACCAGATTCAAAAGTGCCTGCATTGCTCCAGACTCAACGCAAAAGTGTACGGTGACTGGGCTAATAGGCTTAAAACTCTCCTGTACGAGAAGTCCCATCTGCTGAGGACTCTCTAGCAACTTCAAAAACAGCATCGCAGAGCAAGGGTATGGAGAAAGATCATCCCTCTACCCTCTCCAGCCGTATGGCCTCAAAGACAGGCCTTTCTCCAATTTCCTCGCTACCCCCGGCACTGACAGCTGCGTGGGTCAGCATCGGGGATAAACCTGGGACTTCTGGCATGCCACTACAAAAGTCGATGGGGGCGCACAAAAGAGCCCACTCGGAGCTGAGACAAAGATCGTCAGCACTGTGATCTACGGCACTAGAGCTACCTTTGACTCCGTCCATTCTGACTGCCTGCAGCACTGACCGCCCAGCACCTAAGCATCATTGTAGAGCGGCACCATCTAAGAAGCCGCGGACTGATGTCCCCCGATGGAACACTCAGCACCAACGCAGATCATGGTACCGCTCTCACCCACGTTGCCCACAGTACCGACACTGCTTCCAGTTCCTATGATGTCCCCGGCATCCATTCTGTCTCTGGCACCTGCATCGGTCTTGGCACCATAGAAATCGCACCATTCGGCACCGAGAGATGACCGTACATGCTACTGCTCTCCAGCGTGGAGCCATACTCCTTTGGCACTGCCTACACTGGGTTCCTCTGTCCAGTATGTGCTCTCTTGACATTCTTCTGTGGGGTCTCGATCTCCCAGTGATGCAGGCACTGGGTCAAGAAGCAGATTCTCATCTCAACATTCTAGCTCAGTGCCCAGGCCACCCTCCTGGCAGCCTACCACAGTACAATATGCATACTCTCCTCCTCCACCACCATTGTATGTGCAACAGTATGCTTGTCCTCCTCCACCATATGCCACCCAATGGCAACCCTGGGAGCCACAGCCCAAGAGGAGTCACCACCATGCGCCTTCCACAATTTCGAGGCCACCACCAGCCTCGCCAACCACTACCGCTGCAGTCCTGGCGATGATGCTAGAAAATTCCAGGACCTCTTTAAAAGAGTGGTGTTGGCACAGGAACGAGATCTCCAGGAGGTTCAAGTCAAACAGTATCAATTTCTCCATACTTGCAACCTCCAGTTGCCTCCAGAATAGCCATCCCCATAGAGGAGGCTATCATCTGGCAGACTCCGGCCTCCATTACCCTGACAAACAAAAGAGAAGACCGCAAATATTTTATCACTTCCAGGAACATGGATTTTTTGTTTAACCATCCCCCTCTGAATTCATTAGTAGTAGACTCTGTTCGTCATAAGGGTAAACAACCAAACTTCAGAAATACCTCACAAGACAGTGACCATAAGAAGGTAGACATCATGGGTCATAAAGTTTACACATCAGCTAGTCTACTTGTCAGAGCATCTAACTACACCGCAATGCTCGCTGAATATGACCATGCTAACTACTCTAAATTACAGGGTCTCCGGAACATAAGAAGCCAGAACATAAGAGCATAAGAACATAACTTTACTCGGTATTATGGAAGAAGGCCATAATGTTGCCCGTACAGCTTTATAGTCGGCTATGGATGTAGCAGACACTGAGGCTCGCATTACTGCATCTGCCATCATCCTCCGCAGGTTGCCATAGCTCCAATCATCACAGGCCCTGAGAGATTTGCAACAAAAAGTAGAGGATTTACCTTTTGATAAGGCCACCCTATTCTCTGCCAAAACAGATGAAGTTTTTCACTCTATGAAGGACTCCTGAACCACTCTCAGAACTCTGGGTATGTACACTCCTCCCTTCAAGAGGACTAGGTACCAGCCTTACCAATGCCCAAGAGAGTCCTTCAGACAACACCAACTCAGATACGATTTCCATCAGAGACCAAAGCCATAGGCCGCAACACCAACAGCAACAACACTCGTCTACCAATCCCCCTGCAAACAAGCAGCAGGTTTGAAAGACAGGTAGAGAGTCACGAAGCCATTCTTCTGTCACCCAGGACCGATATGCTTCAATTCCACCACCTGAAGAGTCTTCCTTCATCAATGGGCCCTCATTACATCAGACAAATGGGTTCTGGACTTGATCCAATATTGCTATGCTATCCCATGTACTTCCCGTCCTCCCACCCACTCTCCTACCCTGTCCCTCTTCAGGGACCCATCTCACGAAACCCTTCTCGATCAAGAGGTTTCTCATCTCCTGCAGCTGGGTGCCATAGAACCAGTTCCTCCAGCATACCAGGGTTGGGGATTCTACTCAACTTACTTCCTAACCCAGATGAAGAATGGAGGGTGGTGTCCCATACTGGATTTGAGGCGGCTGAACAAATACATTTCCTACCACCACTTCAAGATGGTAACTTTAGCAACGATCATCCCCGCTCTCGACCAACGAGATTGGCTTTCAGCTCTCAACCTCCAGGATGCCTACTTTCAT